TCGTTGTAAGCGGATCACTGTAACACTGATGTGTGCATGCATATAGCCATAAACCAAATTCCTGGCTTATCGCGTTTTTTACACTATACATGTTGGTTGCATGCATGCTAATATTCTTAACATTTTAAGCTAACATAATCAGTAAATGGCCCATTATTTAATGAAGGACGTCGGTGAAGGTTTATATCGTTTATTTAGGATTTTCTCATCATGAAAGTGTTCAACCGATATATAAGGGAGCACTCGTTACATATAAAGATATACATGCAAGCTTCAGTGAAGCTAGCAAGTAGCAATGCCAAACTGTATACGCGCAATCGCTCAATGCCAAAGTACATGTATACTTTCATACTGGGTTCATTGAAGAACGAGGCATGATGAGAATATATATATATTGTATCATGATGCATGAATATTCTATACAACCGTATAGAATATTCACTGATATGGCTTATTTAGGATTTTATCACCATACAAGTGTTTAACCGATATATAAGGGAGCACTCGTTAAATGATAAAGACATACATGCAAGCTTCAGTGAAGCTAGCAATGGCCGACTGTATACGCGCAATCGCTCAATGCCAAAGTATACTTGCAGAGTGGTTTTTGAAGAACGAGGCATGATCAGAATATATATATATATATATATATATATATATATTGTATGATGCATGAATATTCTTTACAATCGTATAGAATATTCACTGATATGGCTTATTTAGGATTTTATCACCATGCATGCAAGTGTTTAAGCACTCGGTAAATATAAAGATATACAAGCTTCAGTGAAGCCAGCAATACCAAACTGTATACGCGCAATCCGGCGTTATACATGCAAGCTTCAGTGAAGCTAGCAATGCCAAATTGTATACGCGCAATCGCTCAATGCCAAAGTATACTTGCAGAGTGGTTTTTGAAGAACGAGGCATGATCACAATATATAGATATATATATCGTATGATGCATGAATATTCTATACAGTCACGTATAGAATATTCACTGATATGACTTTATATAAAGATACCAAATTCAATAAAGCAAAAAATGCCGAAGTATAAGTATACTTGTAGACTGCATTTTTGAAGAACATTTAGGCATGAATATATATTACGGCAGGGCTTACAGGAAAGGTAAATTCAGAAGATATGATACCCGATACTATTTTTGCCTTTTTACGACTCGTCGGTAAATATAAAGATATATACAAGCTTCAGTGACGCTAGCAATGCCAAATTGTATACGTGCAATCGCTCAATGCCAAAGTATACTTGAAGAGTGGTTTTTGAAGAACGAGGCATGATCACAATAGATATATATAGGCCTATGTTGTATGATGCATGAATATTCTATACAACTGTATAGAATATCACTGATATGGTTTGTTTAGGATTTTATCACCATGCAAGTGTTTAACGGATATATAAACGAGCACTCGTTAAATATAAAGATATATAAGCTTCAGTGAAGCTAGCAATGCCAAACTGTATACGCGCAATCGCTCAATGCCAAAGTATACTTGCAGAGTGGTTTTTGAAGAACGAGGCATGATCACAATACATATATATATATAGGCCTATGTTGTATGATGCATGAATATTCTATACAACTGTATAGAATATCACTGATATGGTTTGTTTAGGATTTTATCACCATGCAAGTGTTTAACGGATATATAAAGGAGCACTCGTTAAATATAAAGATATATAAGCTTCAGTGAAGCTAGCAATGCGCCAATGCCAAAACTGTATACGCGCAATCGCTCAATGCCAAAGTATACTTGCAGAGTGGTTTTTGAAGAACGAGGCATAATCACAATAACTACAATACATATATATAGGCCTATATTGTATGATGCATGAATATTCTATACAACTGTATAGAATATCACTGATATGGTTTGTTTAGGATTTTATCACCATACAAGTGTTTAACCGATATATAAAGGAGCACTCGTTAAGCTAGCAATGGCAAACTGTATACGCACGGCGCAATCGCTTAATGCCAAAGTATACTTGCAGAGTGGTTTTTCGGAAGAACGAGGCATGATCACAATACATATATATAGGCCTATGTTGTATGATGCATGAATATTCTATCACTGATATGGTTTGTTTAGGATTTTATCACCATGCATACAAGTGTTTAACCGATATATAAAGGAGCACTCGCGTTAAGCTAGCAATGGCAAACTGTATACGCACGGCGCAATCGCTCAATGCCAAAGTATACTTGCAGAGTGGTTTTTCGGAAGAACGCAGCATGATCACAATAATATATATAGGCCTATGTTGTATGATGCATAAATATTCTATACAACTGTATAGAATATCACTGATATGGTTTGTTTAGGATTTTATCACCATGCACTAAGTGTTTAACGGATATATAAAGGAGCACTCGTTAAATATAAAGATATATAAGCTTCAGTGAATTAGCTAGCAATGCCAAGCTGTATACGCGCAATCGCTCAATGCCAAAGTATACTTGCAGAGTGGTTTTTGAAGAACGAGGCATGATCACAATACATATATATAGGCCTATGTTGTATGATGCATGAATATTCTATCACTGATATGGTTTGTTTAGGATTTTATCACCATGCATACAAGTGTTTAACCGATATATAAAGGAGCACTCGCGTTAAGCTAGCAATGGCAAACTGTATACGCACGGCGCAATCGCTCAATGCCAAAGTATACTTGCAGAGTGGTTTTTCGGAAGAACGCAGCATGATCACAATAATATATATAGGCCTATGTTGTATGATGCATAAATATTCTATACAACTGTATAGAATATCACTGATATGGTTTGTTTAGGATTTTATCACCATGCACTAAGTGTTTAACGGATATATAAAGGAGCACTCGTTAAATATAAA